AAAATGTAGACATAGAATATATTATTGATGATGTTACAAATTTGTAAATCAGTTTGTAAAGCAATATTCTTTGAAAGTGAATAAAAATGTTTCCACTCTTGAGCCAGAAATCCTTGCTACTAGGCACATAGTAAGGAGGTCAGAAATAGACATAAAGTTACTATATTCATAGCAGCACTTTTTGTAGTAAAAAAAGAGTTAGAAACAAAATAGAGAACTGTCTGTTGGGGCAGGCTGAAACAAATTATGGTACACCATTTTAATGGAGTAATTACTCTCATAAGAAACACTGAGTATGAAGAATTCGGAGAAAAGCATTGGAATATGTACATGAACTGTTGCAGACAGAAGTAAACAGTACCAGAAAAATGATGTACATGACCATTGAAAAAAAAAAGTGCAGTAATGAAAATGTGAAAATTAATGCTATGCAAATAAGATAACCAAGCTTATATTTGAAGAAAAGATGTGAAAATGCATTTCCTTCACTTATTTGGGAAGATCGTTTCCTTTTAGAATGATTGCATTTAAAATCAGGATTAATTGATATACTTGTTAGTTTTGCTAAATAATACCTTTTATTATCCTTTAAACTTTTCTTTAACAGAAAAGATTATTTTGGTAGGTAAGGAAGATGGACATATTTTCCAATGAAGTTGAGGTAAAAACAAAACCTGTCCGTTTATTAGCTATCCTCAATCAATGTTAGAGATATCATTACCTCAGTCCCTAGTGGTGATGTGGACACATTGTCTCATAGGAAATAGAACTTTTGTTTTTCTCCAATGGATATTCATACTATGGTCCCATGTATCCTAGATAATCTAGTCCTCTCCCACATTGTCCACCATGACTATTATAGGTGGTATGAAAGACATAAAAAAAATTCAGTCTTCTAGATATCTGGCTATGGCTTGTTTTTGCCCTGCAAACAAACATTTTCTGACCCTGTTGTTACATATTTTGCTACCTTCCCTTCTGAAATTGGTATTCCAGAAATTGGTTCACTTTAGCACATATCTTAGTTTACTCTTTTTTTTATCATGAATTGAACAATGCTTTCTTCTACCCCCCAAATGTTCTTATCGATCACCCTTTAGATTATCCTTAATTACTGGGATTTGTTCACCCCCAATCTTTTTGTTTGTGAGAGAATAGCATTTAACAGCATCAACATGTTAGAAGTCCAGCTTTAAAAAAAATTACAGGCTGCCTGGCTTATGAAACTGATTTTGGAATCTTTTACTCTTGGTTTATTTACTGACTGTCTCTTTCATAAAATTCAAAAGCATTAAAAAAATGTTTCAAGAAGGCAGAGGGAGGGATAATTCCTGACCAAATCATTAATGCATGGCGCATATAACTTGCTTTAGAAAATCACAATCAATAATCTAACAGACACCAAAGATTCTTTGGGCAAAGAGGGGAGATTGTAAAAAGAACAAGAAATATTTATACAAGGGACATTTTGATATCCCATCTGGCAAAAATTATATATACAATATGCTATTCTTATTTAACAAGGGATGGGCATATTGGGAATTCCAGTGTGTGTTACCATCTATACTTGATTTGCATCAGTGAATAGTTTACGTAAAGGAAAACTGGTGTTTTTTTTTCCAGAATCTCTGCCAACTTTGAATGCATCTACACATAGTTAACTTGCTCCCAGAATCACTACATAAGGACTTAATTATTTAACACTATTATATATTGCTTAGTCATTTTCCTTAAATTAATTCTAAGATGATTTGAGCCAATTAGGTTCTTGAATTTTAGTATTTTCTTTTCCAAGTCGGACCAATATAAGTTTTGTATTCACCTTTGTGCTTTTTGGGCCAAGGCCAAATGTTCTGTGAACTTCAGTTTTAATGGAGTCTCAGATTTATTGCATAAGGTTTGTGAAATAACTCTAAGAATGCAAACAACTTATTGCCATGCCAAAGTTTATTCCCATTATGCTGATGAAAATGTCACACTTCACTCCCTGAAATTGTTTGGATAAATGTAGGTGATGATGATGTGGAATGGGCATATGCCACTAAATAAGGTGAGGAGCATATGTACATCAACTGTGACTTTAGTCAGTGGTAGAATTGCTTTTAGGAAAATAAAATGTTGATAGTTTTTCAAATAGTTCTGCCTATAAAAATAAATTTAAATTATGAACAAAGTCAATAAGAAGTCTATTTTGGTGTGCTTATGTTATGAAACAAACTGCATTCAAGTTTTTCTGTCTGAATATGTCTTTGATTAAATTGCTGTGGAAATGGAATGATTTTACATGGGTGGGGGGAGAAGACAGGAAAAAATATTCCATATGAATGGGAGATGAAAATATGTCGGCTGTTATATTTATCAAAAAAAAATTGAACATCTGTAAAATGATCTGGCTAGATAGGGAGTACAATGGATAGAGTGCTGGGCCTATAGTCAGGAAAACCTATCTTTCTGAGTTCAAGTCTGGCCTAAGATGCTTATTAGCTATTTAACCCTGGGCAAATCACTTAACTCTGTTTGCCTTCATTTCCTCATCTGAAAACTGTGTTAACGTATCAATAATTTTGAAATTAAACATTTCTCCATCAGATACACAAGTGTCTGTACAGTAAAGAAGAAACAAACTATGTGGCAATCAGAATTGGTAAATTGTGTTGACAGAAAAGGCAACCAGGAAACATGTAATGAAATTCTATTGTAAAAATGAACTTGGGTTTAGATGGAATAATTTGGAACGACTTTCTAAAAGTCAGAGGAAAAAAAATTACATGTAAGTGAATCTGTTGCTTTGTAATGAGAATAGTGGTTACTGGGGTCTTAAAAGAACATAGTTTTGGGAAAGATGGAAGGAAGAAACAAAGGAAGGAAGGAGAAAAAAGGAAGCACTTACCATATGCTAGACACTGTGCTAAATGCTTTAGAAATATTATCTCATTTGAGCTTTACAGCAACACTAGCAGATAGGTGTTATTGTTGCCCCATTTTAAAATTGAGAAAACTAAGGTAGACAATGTTTAAGTGACTCATCCAGAGTCACACAGCTAATAATACCTGATTTCAAATCTGACTTCAAGTCTTCTTGACTTCAGGCCGCACAATTTATCCACTGCTTATTAGTTTGAAAATAAAAACCAGCCAAACAACAAAACAATTAAAGGCTACCACTGTAAGTGGTAAATGTATCTAAATACCTAAATATATTTATGTTTTCCCCAGTAGTGTACAATGGAGACATCAACATCATGGACCGTAAGGCCAGGCAAAACTCCTTAGTGCAGCCTCAACCAGATTACAATGTATTTAGGAAATATTTAATGAAATAAGTAAAAATGCAATATTATATAGATAATATTAGTTCATCATTTTCAGAATAATATGCAACCTATAGTGATCTAGTTCTCTTTGATTTTGATAACCACTATTGAGTAAGGAATGTTTAACCCATAATGATGCAACTGTCCCTGGATGTTATGTGAAAATGTGTCAAAAGGCATGAATATCCTTATTAATTTACATCTTCTATAAATATCAGCTTCACTGAAGGGGATTTTAAGAGTTGTATATCCGATACTAGTTTCTCAGAATAAATACAAAAAAAAACCAAAACACTAGCAACAAACAAAAGAGACCATATTTATCTTGTGAGAAAATAGATGTGATTTGAGCTATTATTCAGTTTTTCAAATGCTATATCCTAAAATTGATTAACTCTGTCACATCTGCATAGTCATCCATTGAAATACAGGACTGAAAGAACCTGATCTGTTCAGACACTGTATTTGTCTTCCTGTGCCATCTTCCTTGAGGATAATTCCCTGTTTTGAAAGGGTATACTACTGCAATTGCTCAGCATCAGCCCCTGTGACACACACAGACTACAGAATCCTTCAACTCTAGTCACTCTCTTTCAAAAGGTTGAACCACGTAGCTCTTACTCAGCTCATCAGAATGATAGAACCCTCTCATTCTTCAAATTATTAGTAAAATGTGGAGCACAAAGCAATGTTGTTATGTTCTTTTAAGCAATAAAAATTAAGATAATAATTCAATAAGCTATTTTCCCCATCAATACAAATTTAATTTTAACTAGGTAGAGGCCACATTTTCATCATGACTGGGGAAGCAGCTAAAACAAAGCACTCTAACACAAATACTATTAAAAGTCATTCAAAAATAAATTATCTCAATCCTTTTCTTTTAGAGAACTTGCTCTGACCTCTATGATTTTGTCTAAGGGATCTCTGTTTTCTGGAATGTAATTTCCCCCACCCCTTTCACTTCTCTCAGTAGACTCTCTTGCTTCATATAAGGCTTAGCTTAAGTTTCACTTTCCTATGTAGTGTCCCATCTCCCAACAATTATTAGTATTACTTCCCCCTTAAAATTACTTTGTACATGCTTTATGTAAATTCCTGGAGACATTAGGCTGTTTCTGTGTATCCTTAACTTCTAGGAATGTGGTGTGCTTTGCACATAATGTTTAAAAAAAAGTTCAATTACACTGCAATGAATTAAGTTGAATTGAGGTGAACTGAACTGAATCACATGGACTATGTAAACAGAAGCATTTTCAAGGGACCTCAGTTTCTGTGTAATAAAAGGAAATGTGTATATCACATCTATTGCATTGTGACCAACACATTGACAGATTCGCAAAAGTCCATAGTACCTAAAACATATTGTTGTTGTATCCAGAATGCTTATAGAAAATAAAGTGGCTGTTGGGCAGAATATGTGAAGTAAAAGGAAATGAAAGTATTCTAATTCCATCTTCTGGGAAAAGCGAAAGTAGTCAAGAGGACTCTCTTCTGAACAAAGTGTCTGGGGTATTGACTGATTCTTCTCTATTCCCTATTCCATTCTCTAGGATTCTTTGAGGTACATATTACTACCAAAGAAGAAAACACTAGAGAAGGAAAACTATGGGCACCTCTAGTTTTCCATATAACTTACTGTTGATTTGTTGAATCACAATGGTTTCTTCTATACGTTCCTTTCAGCTTCTGGCTGGTGTGCACACTGAGGATCAGACACTAACTACTGAGATATGAAAGGTAAGAATAGTGACTTGGATTTTGATCTATGTTTTCCTTGGACAGTTATGTAAGACCACTTGAACTGAAAGTCTTAGAGTACGTTAGCTGTTTAAAATGAAAATACCTTTCTTCTTTGTTTATTCGCTTTTGAGAGAGATTCAAATCTTATGTATATAGTGTTTTCAGTTCCTAAGGAATGCTTAACTTTGTTGTACTGGCATGGACACCATCATATCATTTCAGCTTGAAGCAAAGTACTGAAAGTTTAGCATCCCTTTTGGAACAGAGGAGCTCGTTGGTTGAGCAGATGCTAATATTGGCATATTTTAAGCAGCATGGTTTGTGGTCTTTGTACTCAAATCAATGACACTGACCTCTGGTTTACATGCTGATTCTGCTGTTCATTGCCCATTTAACAATTTCATAGGTACTATAAGAATATATATATTCTTTCACTCAAGTTCACTGTAAGAATATATATATATATATGTACATATATATGTACATACATATATATGTACATATATATGTACATACATATATATTGTATATATATATATATATATATATATATATATATATATATATATATACACATAATTCTTTCATTATTGTTACTCTACCCACATAGATTTCACAATAATTTATTTTTCTTGATGGCCTTTTTATAAAAGAAATCCTTTGTATCCCTGAGTACATATGGTTGCTTCAGAAAAGGTGGATGTCTTATATAACATTATTGTATTTTCAAAAAAAAAATCTGTATATCTTTTCTTATGCTGAGCATCTTGAAGGATATTTTAGAAATTTTTCAATATGCTTTTAATGATAATTTTTCCTACAAGAATAATGATAATAGTTTTTAGAGTTTGTTAGGGCCTTGGTCATCATTTAATCTAATCCTCTCATTATACAAAAGAAGAAAGTGAAGCCAAGAGAGTGAAGTGATTTGTTCAATGTCACATGGATGAAAGAGCCAGGAATAGAATTCCAGTCTCTTGACTCCTAACATAATACTATTTCAATTACGTCATTCTTCACTGGGGAAAAATTTACCCTCTAGTAAACTACATTCTGCATTTTAAATCCACTTTAAGAGATAAACAGCTTAAGCTGACTTAAAGCTCATAAATACATATGATAGCAACAAAATTTAACATCATGCAATTATAGAAAATAAAAGCTTGAATAAGAAATCTTGGGACAACTAGGTGTCACAGTGGATAGAGCACCAGCCCCAAAGTCAGGAGGACCTGAGTTTAAATTCGGACTCAGACCAAACACTTGACACTTACTAGCTGTGTGACACTGGGCAAGTCACTTAACCCCAATTGCCAAAAAAAAAAAAAAAAAGAAAAGAAAAAAACCTTAAGTTCTTTTGGATTGTCATAGGCAAATCCCTCACTAAAATATATGTTCTCTAATGTAGAATTGCATGCCCATATTTAACAATATTAATTGTGACCACAAGCCTGCAAAAAATTCTTGGCATTCCCATGCAGAATTTCTTCTTGGTTGTTTTAGCAGTGGTTATGGTCAATCAGATGGCTTACAATATCTGTAGGTATTCTGATTAAAAAAAAAGTTATGCCTCATGTTTTTGTAGCTCAGGTGTGACCCTGCTCCCAATAGAACTTCCCATGTAACAAAGAAAAAGTTAGGTAACATCAATGGCAAAATTACCATGTGTGACTGGATGTGCAACATTCAACAGCTGCTGTACCAATTGTTTCTACCTATCTACCAAGAGGAGGAAAATGTGTTTCATCATTTGTTCTCTGGGACCAAGATTGATCATTTTAATTAATCTGAGTTTGGATGCCTTTTATGATTTAATTCACGTTGTTGTAGCCATAGAAGCTAAGATACACTTGCTTTTTTTTTTTTACTTGAGGTGCCTAGAAAAACTACCTAAGTGGAAAAAAAAAACTGCTCTGTGGGTCTACATCCACACAAAAAGATAGATAGCAATGAGAAACCAAGGTATTTACATTTGCCAATTAGATGTCACAGTGAGTTCAAAGAAAGACATTTAATGAAATAGCACAGTAAATGTAGTAACATAACATTTATTTCAATAAACTTAAGACATAGCTTCCCACAAATATAATCATCGGTGAGAGAGTAGATGTGACTAAGAAATACATATTAAAGGGGAACATGTGTAGAAACTATGTGGCCAGGGTACATATCTGGGAGATCACACAATCAGGAAAGAATTGGGTCCAAGGCACATATAGGAAGGGGGACGGGAATCTGACAATGGAAAGCTACTGATGTTTTCAGGCAATAAAATTATACTCCCCCCCACCCTGAGAGGCTCCACCCTTCCCATGATTATAATCTTTTTGGGTTGGGTTTATTGGTCTCTTTAAGCATTGATACCCTGGACATATAGTTGTGAAGCTTTTCTCTTTTGATCAGTTATGGGCTTCAGGACCATCTTCTGGATATACCTTCTCCTTTATGTCAAGGTGAAATGACCAAAAATCTTCTCTCAGTCAAGGACAGGATACCTGCTTTTAACCAAAGACCACATAGCTGAGCTATGGCACCCACATAAGACTCTTTGAAAAAGTGAGCAGAGGGCCTTAGGATTAAGATTCAGGCAATTCTTTTGAACTCTTCATGTCTGCAAATGAATCTTCATCTTTGTGTCAGAGAGCTATTTGAGAGTATTACTGTTTTCCAAGGTCATCCTGCTGGCTTTGATGAATTTGGGAGACTGTGAAAATTGAACAAAGGAAGTAATGTTATTGGTCTACATCTACATGGATCATATTCCTGATCAGATTATATATAATTGTCCAGCAATAATTCTCCTAAGTTTTAAAGTGCAAAACATGGTCATTCTTCTTTTTTTTATTTTATTATTATTATTATTATTATTATTATTATTATTATTATTGTTATTATTATTATTTTGGCTTTGCTTTCTGTTGATAAAATTATTTTGGTCTCTGAATTCCCCATGTTGACCATTTCTTGTTTTGCCATTTCCCTAATTAATGATCATCTACTTTCTCTGTATACACCTTCACATAGAAGCCACCATAAATTAAAGCATTTGTGAACTTGAGTGAAGGGCTCTTTGTGAGTTCTTCATAGACATTATTCATTCTCTGAACGTGATATTGATGTATAAGGAATAGTGGGTTTGAGAATTGTCCCTTTACTATGATCATCATGAAAACTGAAAGTGAAGTTGACTACATGACTTATGAAATGATGTTTCCATTTGCCTTTTTGTGTGTATTGATACTAATTATAGGAGCTAAGGAAAAATGGGTTTGAGAATTGTCCCCTTTATTATTTTGTGTGTATTGATACTAATTATGGGAGTTCTTTTACTTGCTTTACTGAAGAGTAATTTGCATCAGGCCACCAAGTAACTTCTTTATGCCTTAGGGTTTAATTTATAGTTGTGAGAAAGTTAATATGGATGTGTTTTAGTTCTTCCTCTGATGAAGGAGATCATTTCCTGTTAAAGGACTGTTTACTTTTAGAGCAATGGCAGTTAAGTTAAATAAATTCTCCTAGATCTAAAAACTGTAATAATTAGCAAACTCCCCTCCCTTAGTAGTTTGGGAAGGGAGTTGTGATTTAATCAGTCATTCTTATTCACTATAATCATTAGGAAAAAGATGTTCCTATCCTTTCTAGTGGGTGTGTTAATCTTTCTGAATTGATATTTTTTCTTAGAGCAAAAATAAGGGAGGGAAAGAATGCGGGTGGGTAAACGTGTAGCATTAGGGCATATGATGGCAAGATACTCTCCCAGGCAAATCCTGATGTTCTGATGGACAGTTAAATGAGATGTAAAGCATGGTCTAGGTCATACAAATAAGAGGTTTTTTCTAACACTCACTAATCAGAATGGCTTATTCTTACTACAGAGTATCAAAACTGAATTAATCAACGCTCCTGAAAATTCAGGGTCTTCTCCAAACCCGAATAAGGAAGTAAAATAAGACTTCAATTTAGACATATAACAGTAGCCCCAGACACATGAGCCATCTCTTCTCTTCTAGATGCATCTTGCATTTCTCTCTTTATTTACATGTTTTCCCATCCATTGTGTAAGCTTCTTAAAGATAGGAACTTTTTTTTGGTGGAGTTGCATTAAATGATTACCCTACCCACCCACCCACCCACCATGTAGCTTAGTTCCTTTCACATTGTTTAGTGCTTATTGATTATAACTGTAAATCTTGGATAAAAATGTGGCTATAAAAGCCTATTGCTGATTTAATATAAAGCCATATAGCATAATATTTACAGCACTAAATTATGGACATCTCTGACCAATAATGATTATCTATAGACAACCAAGTTAAAAAAAAAAAACTATATCTGGGGCATCCAGAAGAAAAAAAAAAGAACAAAACCTAGATAATTTCTTATTTCTCTGTTATTAGAAATTATATTAATAACATAAATTACTGAAATATGATAATTATTTAAAGACCACTTATAGAAAAGATGGCCATTTTTGTCAAATCTACATGGTCTTCAGTGACACTTAACAATAACATAACCACAATTTGGAAAATATATTGAAACCTATTGTTATCACATCTTGTACTTTTGGAGCCCATTAGGTTTTCTGTTGCAGTGAGGGGTGTCTGGAGAGACCAACCTAATTTTCAAGTCAAAATAAAAATAAGCAATAGTGACTCTCAGGAGATGGGATTATTGAAGCAGGTGGAAACATCTTCAGAAAACATCCTGAGGGATAACTACTGTGCCTGTGAAATGATCTTGTCTAGGACTTTATTTTTATGCCTCATAGTATGACATGCAAGTAATATTTTATTCAGCATGTTTATATGTATATACTGTATTAAATTATGTTTTGTGTTGTGAATTACTTTTCTATTTCTATATTTTTATACAGATGAACAAAATAGCCAGAGTTATGTATATGGTATGTTTCGATTACTATGTAATTTTTGGCCCTTGTTATTATTCAGTTGGGGTTTATGGACGATGTTAAGCAAAGGAACTGCATCATGTGAACATTTGAATTTTGCAGATTTAATAATACATATTCATGAAAGAAGAAAAGAGGAAAAAGAGCAATTTTAATAGTACAGGCAATTTCACTTCCCTTTCCAATAGCTAACCCTATGTCCTGGGGAGACGGAAACCTAGGATTCTTTCAATCAATCTCAGATGCTAAGTACTCTCAAAATACGAGAATCTTGTGTAATAGCATGTGATTTTGGAACTTTCCTTTTATCATATTTGAAATCCATTTAATTCATTGTGCTTTGGCTACTAATGTTAGACAGAGATAGAGAGAGACACAAAGAGTCTTAGTTGACATTTCAGACATTCCTGTTCATCCAGAAGGTCCCTACTACTTTCTCCTTTTCTTTCTTAGATCATTTTTTGATTCATGTAGAAAGCAGGGATACAGTGGCATCATCTCAATACACAATATAAGCACACTTGTGCTTGAAACATCTTGATGAATTAATTTCCCTTCATCATCAGTTTTTCTTTCAGCTTTTGTCTATCTGCTTTTGTTTTCTTTTATTTGCAAAGAAATAATGACTCCTGTTTGCCTCCTGATCAATAGTTTAGCTGAGTCCTACTGAAAATAAAAATTTACATTTAATGGTTCCCATAACAACCAACTTAGAACCATCTGCTCTCTGCCCCAGTGGATGTTTAAATAGGCCGTAGATCCTTTTCAGTTACAAATATTTAAAGCTACTCTACTATACCTTAAGGAATTTATGTTGTACTTTATTAGGGAGTCAAGGTATTTTAAAAGACTATTTTGTACATAGCCCTAACTTTTGAACCCAATCCTTATCTCCCAGCTCCCATGATGTGATTTCATTGTAATACAAAAATTCTGATCTATCCTGAACTCTGAACAGTCCCAAAGAATGTTTTTGATTTTGTTTGTTTGTTTTAGGGGGATATAGTCAAGAACCTTTCTTCTGAATTGGGGATTTTCCAGTCTTTACCTGTTCATCAGTATGTTGTATCGTCTATTCATTTTGGAAGATTTTTTTAAAGATAAGATTTAAACTCCAATTAAGTGAATAATTGTCATTATAGAGAAATCTCATCATGTCTAAATGTTTTTGCTCTAGAGCAATAACTTAGTATAGTAGAATAAATCCAAGACCGAGTGTCAGAAGGTGTAATTCTGGCTTTACTACTAGGCTTTTTGACCACAGACTCCCACTAACAAACCTCAGGTTTGCCATCTCTAAATTAAGCAATTTCAACTATATTATCTCTAATGTCCTTTCCAGGTCTGATCCTCTCTAAGCATGTCAGTCCTTTCCATTTATATATTGCCTGCTACTTTAGTTTTGGCCGTTAATTATGTCTCATAGTTTTGTGTTTTTTTTTTTTTCTTGATCCTCTATTCCTGAATTCATGCAATAACTATTTGTTAAGCACAATCTATTAAACAAAAAAACACTTTGCTAGGGAGGGAATCAAGGGGATTAGGATAGAAAGTGGTAGTACAAATTGAGTGAACCACACTGACTCCCTCTTTTGGCTCACTTCTGGAGCTAGTTCACTTCACTTTTTATTAAATTATGGATCAAGTCCAAATTTTGTCCTCTGAGAAAACTTTATTAAGTTTTGGGAATTGAAGAAAAAAAAACTTAATGCATTGTTTGAACATAATCTTATAAGCCTGAGAGGCTGGACCACCCACACCTGCTGCTTAGAGACCTTTAACTAAGGACTTAGGTCATGCTGACCAGAAACCCAATCAGATCCTAACATTGATGTAGGGAATTTTCTCACAATTGTACATTTCGAACAACTCAAAAGTCTTATCTGAAATCTGGCCCCATACTTATCAATAAGTTATTGTTTCCATGTTAATTTGACTGTTTAAAGATACTTGGGAAGTGGGAATGCTTCCTTTTCTGAATTCAGGGAATTGTGCTTGTTTGTTCTACTTCTCCCAACTTGGAAAGTCCCTAATCTTTGTTGCAATTAGAAATCAGATTATCTGATATTGTATTGTTTCCTTTTATTTAATTGGTCTTAATTGATTAATTGTTTTTATTGTTCCAAAGCCAATTCCCCCTGTATTCAATTTCTGGCCCTAAGCTGAGGAAAAGACCTGGTCTCAGTTTGTTAGACAATTGACATGAATTGCTTAATAAATTGATATGCTTGAACATTGAACCTTTGTTTCCTCAGTCATTTCATCTTTCACCAGCCACATTAGGTACTGGGAATGGTTAAAAAAAAAAAAAGTTTAGGTATCTCTTAGGTTAGAAAAATGATTTATTCTCAGAAAATCTTGACCAGCACTTCTGATAATCTCACGTCCATGCATATAGCTAAAGCAGTCAGAAGAATGCATTATTAGAATGGATCACAGAGGTCGTCTAGTCCAACCCATACCTGACAAAAAATATTGTCTACAGTATCCAGTACAAAGTGGTCATCCAGAATCTGATTCATAATTTTCAGTGAAGAAGGAACCATTACCTCTTGAGGCAGCAAATTTTACTTTTGGATGTCTCTATTTGTTAGGAAAATTTTCTTTATGACAAGCCTACATGTGCTTCTCAGCTAGTTTCTACCAAATGCTCTATGGAGTCAAATAGGAAAGGTCTCATTGCTCTTCTACTGGATAGATTTTTATGTATTTGTGAAAAAGGAACAACAACAACAACAACAACACTCAAACAAAAGTAGCCCCCCCCCCGCCCCAGTCTTTTCATCTCTGGG